TGAAATAATTTATAAAAAGCAACTGAGAAATTTGTAGAATGGATGTATATCTGAGTTTATCTAGGTATTTATTTTCATGCCTGGCCTCATAATGCCTCAACATTGAAAAGGTGGATTTATTTAAATAAGACAGTTTAATCAAACATATGCGACACTTAACCTGCAGAACATGATATGACAGTAAACTAAGAGTCAATTTCAGCTGAATTTGGATTCAGATAGATCAAGTAGAAACTGACAAGAACCAGATGAAACAACAAAATGAAAACAAATTTATTTTCCAATACAAGATCAAAATGGTCCCACACTGCAGAGACCTTTCGTTTGAGGCTGCTCCATAGTTTATGCTCTACCGTAAAATATCAAGAATTCGTTTGGCAAATGCTTTTGACAGATTTGCTTCCTTAACAGTTTGGCGCGTTAATGTCATTTCGAAACAGTTCCTGTATCGGTCACGTGACTTGCTGAAACCAATACGCGACCAACACAGGTGGGCTTGACACTCGCTGTCACTGTCACTTACCCTGCAGACGTGGAGTCACAAAACCAATGTCTGGGATCATGAGCGCCCCCTGCCACGAGGCAAGAAAACTACCTGCCTCACCTCGAATCTGTTCTCAGCTGTTAATGATCACTCCTTAGCACACGAAACACGTTACACACACAATTGGTGACAAAAACAATGTACATATAAGCTGAATTATGGAAAATCAGTTCATATTTTAAATGTTTTTAACCATTTTATTGGCAACATACAGAACATACTCTCAGAATAGCAGCCATGCAGCGCAGTTAGCGAGAGGTTGCGCAATCCAAGGTGAGGCTCAGCTCGCTGCTGCCTCACCAGCTGCGCGTCTGAGCATTTGTATGGGAAATTGCAAAAAAATCAGCTATTTTGAGGAGAAAAAAAAATCAAAATTGGTTAAGCTAAATGAAAAGTAAATACTTTATAGTACAAACCACAGGGTGAATATAGCAATATAAATTATCATATTAATTTTCCATGATGACAAGTGAGGCTCTGCCTCACCTTCCTCTCCTGACGACATGTCACTGATTATATATGTGTGTGTGTGCGCGTGTGTATGAAAAAGGCAAGATAAGTCAAGAGATGATACATTTTACATTATATATTTTTCATAAAAATCACAGATGCAGTAACCTCTCACAAAATACATGTATCAAAAGTGAAGATCAGAGTATGTGATTCCAAAGGAACAATCATGTATTTCTAGTTAATCTTAGTGGCATACAAACTCAGTCAGATCACATGTTTATGTTCTAGTCACCTGCTAAACAAAAAGCACAAGGTGTCCTTCTGGTCATTAGATAAAGTACATCACCCATTTGTGATAAGGATTGGACAGACTGAAACAATTTTGTTTTAAATGCTGGGGGCCCTCATTTTCTTATAGCAAAAAGGCCAGAAAAGTTCCATGTTGATATTCATGACAACAGACAACATTTATTGCATTATATATAAATTAATCTCTTGCGATGACATGGCTTTAAGACATGAAGTAACAATCACAGAGATCTTACTGTTACACTGTGTGGAGATTTTAGAGTTTGAGTTGGAGCTTCCAGTGTTTCTCAGTGTTCCCCCAGATCTGCTTCTCAGTAAACCAGTAATGGCTTCCACAAGCCATTACTGGTTTGTGAAAGCCATTAAGGTTTTGCTGCTATTTGAGGAGAACTGAGGCTGCTTCTCTGATACAGGACACAGCCTTCTGAATGTCGTCATCCTTCTGTTTGACGGTGACCACTACCCTGATGCTGGAGATAAACAAGACAAGGTGATGGGTAATGTTAACACCTTTCACTTCACACAATTATAAACATTTTCTGAAAAGCTGATGGTAAGTTAACTTGTAAAACACTTTCCCCAAACCATCTTGACTACCACAATTTTGATGTGAAGGGCCTTCTCTTGGTAATGGAGCACCTCACCTCATTTTCAAGCATAATGCCAGCTATCCTATGGAAGAAGCTCATTTCAGCCATGAGCTGGACATTTCAGTCATTCTCCCCAAGCACTTTCGTCTTTACAACTGTACCCTGAGGTCTTGATCAGGGTCAGGGTCAGATGGCAATGTCCATCTCACATTTGGAACAATGTGAGTTCTTCTAAAATCATGGACACACCTTTTGCTTTGGAGCTGAGATAGTGTTCAAAAGCATCTCCAGCACTCCTGGACATGGTCATAAGCTTTCTCCAGATGCAAAAAAACACACCTAGACCAAAGCACTGAAATCCTATAACCGTCTCAGGAGATTCACCAGGGAAAGATCTGATCCACTGTTTCATACGTAAATGAAAGTTACAGTTCAACTATAGCAAGAGTCCTTTAAATCACCCAGTTGCTAAAAGGTCTTTTCTAGCTACAAAGTGCACCTCTGCCATGTCAATGGACTCATTTTTCCAAGTCCTAAGACTGCCCCTGTAGCAGAAAGCATGGAGATCTTGGGTCTCCTATACAAAACATTGCACAAGGTCTATACTAAAATTGTATGTATGTGCAAAGTCAAAAATGACATGCCAAAAAATCCATGCACGAACACACATGGAGGATCACATCAAGAGCCAGCACCTGATGGGGCAGCTACTGACCCCTTCAGGCTACAACGGAAAAGTGCATCAGTACATCAGGCCCCAACAGTTCAAATTTCCTTCTTGATTTTTTCATTTGCAAGGTCTTCCAGCAGTGTTGATGCATCATGCATTCATTATGCATGAGTGTCACTACAGCTTATACATGCCGACAGTAATCAGTTTGATTACTTCACATTTTGTGTTTACTTGAGGTTCACAATCACCCTGGTGATCTTCCAGGAAAAGGAAGGTGATGTTGAGAAAACTAATGAAATGTGCAGACATTGATTCAAGATTTAAGGCTTATAGTCCTTTTTTATTCAAAAGTTCCTTATGTATAGTTATGGCTGACTAGCTGAAGCCTAAAGAGTACTGCTGGTTTGAATGCTTATGATAAAGTGTATGATAAAAATTAAATGTCTGAGTAATCATGATTCTCCACCTCAACATGTGTCACAAGTTTCCCTTGTCTCTAAAACCAACATACGGTCAAAGTTTGCATGAGGAACTGCACATTCTCCCATCAAGTTTTTTTTTTATTTTTTATCGATCACAACTATTGTGTAGAACAGTGGTTCCCAAACTTTTTCTTCTGCGCCCCCCCAG